GAAGAGAGGAGGGTTGCCGGAGGTTGGATAGGGCCGACAGAGGAAGGGAGAGAGAGACAGAGAGAGAGAGAGAGAGAGAGAGAGAGAGGGAGGGAACGAGAGAAAGAGAAAGAGAGAGAGAGAGAGGGAGAGGACGAAGGAGAGGTCCGCTGGACCAGCTAGAGCGAACGGAAAGAGAAGGAGAGCGCAAAGGCGAAGGGAGCAGGGGCAGAGGTAGAGGCACGGAGAAGGGCGCGGGGGTGGACGAAGGAGCGAAACGTACGATCAGTAGCTCGCGTATGTAACATACTATCTTGAATATGCGCATACATCGCGAGCTGGCCACGTATTCTGAGAATCGGTTAGGCGATCGGGTGCGCGGGAGCTGCCCGTCTCTCCGCGTAATTACCTTCTTTCTTTCTTTCTTTCTGGATTCCCCTCGTTCGCCACCCGGCGCGCGGCGTCGTGCTCCTTTTCTGCGACCCGGCGGCACGGTCGCGATTCCGCCATCGTCACGTTCGCCCGGCTCCTTTTATTCCCGCTGCGTCGCTCTCTCGCGCGCGTACGAGCAGCGAGCACGCGTCTTGTTCTACAGGTAACGAACCTGGCCCGGACGAGGGGGGAGGGGAGGGGAAGGGGGTATCGTGCGATCGTCGGAGCCGCGGGAAGGTCGAGCGATCGATCGCGGGGGCGCCGGACGTTTCGTTTGCGAGTTAATTAGATTATTCGGCGACGGCGGATCGTGCACGAAGATGAGCGCTTAGATGAGAATTGCTCAGTCTGAGCGAGGCGGAGGAGTCATGTCGGAAAAATCGCAGCGCTCCGGTCGGAAAACTCAAGGGAGAAAGAGAGAGAGAGAGAGAGAGAGAGAGAGAGAGAGAGAGAGAGAGAGAGAGGGAGAGAGCGGTCGCGTCATGCGTCGGGATTGAAACCCCCTTCGCCGTTTCGAAAGCAGCGTGTCTGATTATGATTCCGAAAGCGAAGTGTGTCGATCGAGCGGTGCTCGCGCACCGTAAGACTGTAAATAAGGAAATAAGGAAAATAGTACCGTTCACAGAAGAGACGCGCGATCGTCGAGGTAAATCACCGCGAAGTACACGCTGCAGAAATCTCTCGCGGTATTTCTGAATCCACTTCGGGTCCACGGCGTCATTAATTTCCTCCGCTGGGCCGACTCGTCCGACAAGTTGCCGCACCAAACGTTTCGTCGATAACTCCGCTCATATTTCCGTTCAGTAGGATTGCCATTTTGTCCGCTTCTGAGTCGAGAGACGGGAGGGGACAAGTTTGATCCGCAGTCTGTTCCTACCGATCGCGAGGGAAGGGGAGGATCTCAGCTTTCGAGATCGAGTCGCCGAAAACGAAACCGCAGCAGCGCGAAGGACGCGCACGTCATTGCGTCATCCCCTCGAGTCCCCTCGAGTCCCCTTTTTCTCCGTGTTATTAATCAGCATTTCGCCTCGCTTTTCAACAGTCGATCATCCATCGCCGCAGCTCGCAGTCGCGCATGATCTCAGGCGAAGCTCCTCGGTCGGCGCGAAATTGTCTCGGCAGCAGGTATATATATATACGATCCTCTCTCGGGGGGATCCTTCCTGTTACTCCTTTTCCATTTCTTGCTCCGGGAGGGAATAAATCGTGCAGTTAGTAGCTCGCACGTATGACATACTATCTTGAATATGCGCATGCATCGCGCCAGACGCACGCGTATTCTGGGAATCGCTTAATGCGCGATCCATCGCTGCGCTCGGGCTCGTCTTCGGCGTAATTGCTTTCCTCCTCTATTTTCTCGCCGTCTAAGCCTCCGCTCGATTCATCGCAATTTTTTTGTCCCTCACATACCGAGACCCGCGCGCTGACCCGAGCGCGCGATATGACTTACACGCCCGCGAATTTATGCGCGTGTCGCTGCTGCGCGTGTTGCGCGAAGGGGCTCTACGTCGACCGATTATTGCGACTGCATGTTTTCTCCCCCCCCCCGGCTTTCTTTTCTCCGCCTTTCGAGCCCTCGGCACGAAAGACGCAACTATTCACGGACGCATTGTTATCTCGCGGGCTACCGAAACTGCTCTCCCGTATTCATTAGCCCCCCTCCGGGGGGAGGCCGCCGCGGCGAGAATGCAAGGCGGCCAGGTAGGCTCTCGCTCGTGGCGTTGAAATTGGCGACGAAGTAGGCGACAATTAAGGCGCTCCCGGCTGGTGAAGGTCAAGGCGCGAGGGACTTCCTACTTGTCCGTTGCGTCAGAGAGGTTTTTCCTCTCGGCATCGCCGCGTTCGTTTCCGCGCGCGCGCGCGCGCGCGGCGCGCGTTACTTCGCCGCGAACACGCCTGGTCTTCGGGCTAACGAACGATCTTGCCAACTGGCCCTCGTAAGAGATGACGCATATACTCCTTCCTGGTCTCCCCTTTTCTATTACGAGAGATAGTGCCATGCCGACAAGAAGAGGCGGCCAGAGAGAAAGAGAGAAAGAGCGAGAGAGGCGGGGATGGGAGGGAAAGAAAGACGGAGAGAGAGAGAGAGAGAGAGAGAGGGGGGAGTTCTAATCAAGGTAGCTTGCTGGAACTTCCAACTCCTTTCGCTCGGAACGGGACGTCGAGTTGCAGGTACGTCGATCTCGCGTTCCACGCTACAGGAAGCTCCGCAAGATTATAGAGTGTCTACATGGAGACGGTCCGAGTTTGCGCGAAGATGATGCCGGGGGAGCGTCGTTGTCGGGGGGGAGGGGGGAGGGGGCGAGGGAGACGACGGCGAAGAGTGATTCTCGGGGATGAGCCGGGCGAGGCCGTAAAATTTGTCGATTAAATAATTGGAAAACTCGAAACTTTCACAAAACTAGTCTCGACTCTCGCGAGATAACGGCGTGCGCGAACGCCAGGTTGAGCTGCGAGCTCCGTGGATTATGAAAACGCGCGCGGTTCTTCGCGCGAGAATGTCTCGCTCGAGTTTGCTGACGAGTCGACGCTCGGACGTCGCGCCATCACGATTTCAACCCCTTCTCGGCGGACGTTTGCGCCACGTAGAGTCACCTGGCTGCCGAGGCAGAGGGTCGCGAGGGATATGTGAAGCTTTCTCTTTTCCTTTCGCCTTCCGATAAAGTTAGGTTGTATGTCGATGCGCGTCACAAACATCGCTGTGGCTAAAACACGAATTGCTATCGTGAGAAGCGACATCGGTATTGCTAAGATGGGACGAGAGATTATCCTGAGATGCACGTCTCGCTTTATTAATAACAAGATAAAGGGGACACGAGGGGGCTGTGTCGAGGGTAGTCGACGTTCGCGCCTCGAAAAGGTTGACGACGAAGGTTGTATGTAGAAACAATCCGGCCTCCCTGACACGAGGCGAGGCAAGAGGGTGGCTTCGGCTTCGTCGTCGTCGTTGTGGACGACGATTTCCGCATCGAAGAAGGAAGAGGGTATCATCGTCAGAGTGCGCACACTAAAGAGTGTCCCAAACGGCGACGGTCAAACGTAATCCCTCGAAACGGTCGGAATCGCGGCATTAAGCGAAACCCTCGTCGTTCGGGCTGCATGTTGAGACTTCTGGCCGGTCGTTCGGCTTCGAGGCGGCTGGCTGTGAGAATAGGTCGGTGGCTGGGTGTTGAATAGGCGCCGTTACAGGCAAGGTAATGCGTGTACGAGAGAGGACTCGGCGGCGGCGGCGGCGGCGGCGACGGCGGCGGCGGAGACGGCGGTGGGGACACGGAGGGAGAAGACCGAGGCCAAGGTGTTAACATTTGCTTTATAGCGACCGCTCTACACCCGGGCGATGGTTTAATACTTATGTCGCCGCGCACCGCACGAGCGACACACAAACACCAGCGAACCGCGCGACGCCGCGCGCTCCCACCTGCATACGTTGGTATTAAAGGGACACGGGGTATATATCCGTCCGTAATGCGAGCCCGTTAAACACCGAAATGATCCACACGCGCTGGCGCTCGTGCTGCACGTGTGCTGTTCACACCGCGCGAGCGCGCTTTGCCCCGCTTATTGGCAGTCTGTGCGGCGAAATGACGGAAATCATTTCTGCTCGGAGGGAGAACGCCGAGAATGCCTCCCCATCTGCCTCGACCTGCCAGCCGGTTGCTCTCGCGGAAACTCATACATTTTTATCTCACTCGCGTGTCCTGCACGGGGGAGGGAAGGGGGGGGGGGAGACGACGACGGAAGCGCGATGGTGCGATCGTCGCGAAGTCGGCGAACGAGCGAGTGCGAGCGAACTCATCGTGCGAGTCATTGCGGCAAATCTACGGCGTAGCAGGCGCGGTCGCTTCAGCGCGGAATTCAATCGCGAGAAGAGGGAGGGGGCGAGAGAGAGAGAGAGATTAAAAGCGATCAACTCGGCGATCTGTGTATTCTAATTTTACGGTGGCTCGCGTTAATGCGTGGCATAGACATCGCGCTGCCATATGTCGGCGTCGCCGGAATATACGACGCGTATCACCGCGGACTATGTAATGGAGACCCGTTAAATAGTGAAATGACCGGCGGGTTTATACACGCCGCTATGAGATGTTAATACGACACCCGTTGTCGGGCCAACGCGTGCGTCTCTTCCATCTCCCGTTTGTTTCTCGCTCCCTCCATCTCTCTCTCTCTCTCTCTCTCTCTCTCTCTCTCTCTCTCTCTCTCGTTCTCTCTCTCCCTGCCGCGAACGCGGACACGCGGCGCCTTGCGCTCGTCTCGCTTCTTTCCTCTCGAGCGTTTTCGATCCGCTCCGCCTAGCTTCGTCCCCCCATTCGACCACGCTCCTTTATTTTATAGTTATGCAGCGAGGACACTTTTACTACGACCACGCGAACATTTCGCGGTTCCAGTTGGCGGCGAGCGCTTTTATTGCCGCCGGAGCGTTTTTACCGTCCCCCCCCCCCCGCCCTCGCCCCCGTTCTCCTCCGTCCATGCCGCCTTTTATTTATCACAAAGCAGTCACGTTGCGGGAAGAACGTGGCGCGAGCGGCGCTCGAAGCGACGCGCGAATCTACAGGTAGACGATCGAACGATCGGGAATCATCACTCACTTGGTGTAGAAGCTCTCTTTGCAGTCCGAGCAGGCAAAGTTCCGCTGCCGGCCGCTCTTGTCCAGGCACCGCGGCGACGACGAAGTGCCGCACACCTTCCGGTGGGCGTTGAGGTCCGACCTCTTGGGGAACGACACGGAGCACTTTGCGCAGGGGAACGGCCTCTCCCCGGTGTGCTGTCTGATGTGGATCCGCAGCGAGGCTTTCCTCAGGGCCTTCTTACAAATCGGACACTGATATTTCGCCGGCAGCTTCTCGGCAGCTGCGTCGTCCGCCTCGACGGCGCCGGCATGGAGAGCCTCGTGAAAGACGTACTCGGCTTGAGAATCCGTGAAGAACACGCAGTCCTTGCATTTCCATCCTTCCTTCTCGGCCTCCGTCTGCGCCATGCTCGTTTCGTCGTCCCTGCTGCAGTTGCCTTCTCGCGTGTGCCTCGTGACTTCTTGCGACAGGGCGAAGAGTACGCCGCAGCGGGGACATCTGCCGATCAATCGATCAAGTTGGGTTACGATGGAGTGCACAAGCGATGCGCAATTTTGATCATGAGTAAAAAATGACTTGTTGAAAATACCACAGTTGGTCGAGAGTAATGAGATGTCACCGAGTTAAGAGAGAAAGCCAGGTTGACAAGTCGATAAAGAATCCGACATCTCGAAATCATGTCGGAATCGTCAAGCTGGAATCGTCAGATCAGTGGTGATGGTTGAAGGATATAGACGCTCGACGTCTATATGGCGTCTTTCAGATATCAAATCGATATCGACAAATTGATATCCGGCGAATTTGTCAATAAAGAGCCCAATTTTCACATGAAATCGAACGTCCAAGCGAGAGATCAAACAGTCCGACATGTGAACCCAACTTGTGCACTCTCTTTGTGTCTTATAAAGCAAAAATTGCAAGACAAGCGATGTCATATCGACGAGTTACCTGTGGCACAGTTCCGGATGACAATGGAGAAGATGATTCTTGTAGGCCAGGAGATCCGGACACCTCTCGTTGCAGTGAGGGCATTCCCGCGTCGTAGCAGGCGACGATCCTCCCGGATTTTTGCGGGCTTTTACGGCCTCCTTGTGACTGGAAGTTCTCCGATGTCGGATCGCTTCGTGGGTGGTGGTGAAGTTCATGGAGCAGAACGAGCAGAAGTACGGCGCCGGTCGCGCGACCACCGCCGCTGCCGCTGTCGCCACCGTCGTCGTCGTTGTCGTCGTCGTCGTTGTCGTTGTCGTCATCGCCGTCGTCGTCATCGCCGTCGCCGCCGCTGTCATCGTCGTCGTCGTCATCATCGTCGTCGTCGTCGTCGTCGTCGTCGTCGTCGTCGTCGTCGTCATCGTCGTCGTCGCGTCTTTGCTCTTTCCCTCGTCGTCCTTGACGACGTGATAGTGCAGCTGATGACGCTGCAGCGAGATCAGAGAGTGCACAATCTTCGGGCACATATCGCACCGAATGCGTTGCTGATACTCGTCCGACGCGCTGAAGCTCGGCTCGTGGCCCGTCTCCTTGGCATGCATCCGCAGCTGGAAGTTGTATCGAAATTGCCGGCCGCAAGTGCCGCAGGGCAGGCTCCGTCGGCGACTAATTACTACCGGCACGGAGCCGTTCATCATGGACACCACTTCGCGATGACTCGCGCTCAGAAGGTGAGACTCCATCATGCCGTTGTCTTCGCACCAAAAGTTGCACGGAGTGCATTTGCAATTGCCGCCGATCTGACGAGAGAGGAAGAAAGAAAGACCAGGAGGAGTCAGCAACAACATCTCTCACAGGTGAACAGCTGTGCGCGCCCTGTGACGCGAGCGAAGAGTGAGTGTTGGGCGATTTGTCGAGCGAGTAAAGTCACAATCGGGAAGTGGAGGAAGGTCGCCCGAGGCTTCGTCAGACTACAAGTAACTGTTCGCGCAAGGAGCGATCGACGATCAACTCACCCGTTCCAAGGTACTGATGTGGAGATCAGAACGCCAGTGAAGCAGGAAGGTCTCCTCGGTGTTGCAGTAAAAACGACAAGGGGCGCATTGGAAGGAGCACTGGCGGACCACATTCGCCATGTTCTCCAGCAGGAAGCGACGTGCGCGCGGGCTGCAAGGATTCATTCCTGCCACGCGGCAATGGTAATGGGAGAGCAAATGTTTACCCATTTGAGGCCTCCTCACGCGCGTGCGGCACATCTCGCACGAGACGAACTCCTTCTCCCGTCTGCGCACACGTTTCTTGCCTTCCTTTCGCTCGGGCTCCTCCTCCTCCGTCGGTTTCTGCCGACATGTATTGTTGCGACGTCAGCGAACGGTTCGTATCGGAGCCGGTCGCTGCGGAATGTCTGTCTCGCGCTTGTCAAAGACAGAGCGAGATTTGTCCGACTCGTCGAAGGATCGATGAATCGAATCAACGACATCGACTCGATGTTTCTTTAGACGAGTCCAACGAGACGAGGACTCTGGATATCCAAACTTGCCACGAGAATCGAACAGGAAGGAAAACTCCTGCACCGACCCAGCGCGACTCGGCAGGATAACGAGAGATCTTTTGTTCTTTCGTCGAGACGAACGACATGGGAAGAGGAACGATTGTAGGGAGAGGAGAAAGTTGAGGGACTGGAGAGAGATCGACGTGAACGTTGTTTCGAGTCGCGCCGACCGAAGGACACTTACCGTTGCGAGCGAAGCCTTCCTGCGAGCGGACACTCTTCTATTCGCGCACGAAGCCATCCCGCGCGCTAGATGGACACCGTCGTCGATCTCTCTAATGCTCCTTCTAGCGTGCAAATCAGAGAGCAGATGCCTGTTGTAGACCAGTCGTGAGGCGAGCTTCCTGCCGCAAGGATTGCACCAATATCCCGATTCGATATCCGTCCGTGCACCCGGTATCCATTTCCCTCGCGTGTGTCCCGGCGGCGGCTGTCCGGATGTGTCCTTGCTCTCGTATTCCTCGATCTTCTGCAATAGTTGATGTCCCTTTGTCATCGGCGGATTATTATCGCCCGTGCGAAATCGTGGCGTGTGAGTAATGCCGCGCGTTACTTCATTTATTAATTTATTTACTTACTCCCTCGGGAAAAGTAAAGAAGAAAGAAACCGCGCGAAATAAGCAAGCTGTGGCGGAAATCGAAAGGGGGGTTCATTAAAAAGTTGACGCGCAGCAGAAAAACGACAACGTCCAGCCAGCGAAAGCCGAAAACACGAATTTTCGGCGGGCACACAAGTGTACTCTCTCTAATCCTTGCACTCGTAATTTCCCGCCTTGCGTGACGCTGAAGAGCGTCACGTAAGGCGCTTGATGATGATCCGCGAACTCCATTCCGTTAATTTCGATGTTGAAGGAAATTTCCTTCCTACCTGCGACGTCTCCGCGGGCTTCCATTTTCCGCCGGTATACGTCGGCGGGGGATGTTCCTGATGGTCGTCCTCAGGATCCACGTCCTCCTCATGCATATGCGGCATGTCCTGCGGCAAATCGCCGAGCTCAGGCTTCCGCTTGCCGCCGGTGTGAGCTCGCGATGGACGCTCCCGATTTTCGCCGTCGTCGGAGTCCGAGTAAGAGTCGTCCTCCCCCGCCGAGTCGTCGTCCAGCATGTCGTCCTCCGAGTCGTCGTCCTGCTGGTACTCGAAGTCGTATCTAGTCAGCTCCTTGTTCTCGCTGTTTCCCAAGATAAGGTCGGCGAGGATCGGGTCTTCCAGCCAGGTCTGGTGATCGGACTCTATTCGCTGGGGATTCTCCTGCCTCTTCCGTTCGGTCTGCTTCGTGTCGGTCATTAGAATCTCCAGCGACGTTTCCGGCTCGTGCTTGATCGGGAAGTTCGCGGCGTCCATGTTCGAGCCGGCTTGTGACATCGATTGCGTCAGTTTGCCCTGCGTAACGGTCGCAGGGGTCTTGCCGGTCAACGAGATCGTCGAGGCGATGTCGGGGAACACTAGCGACTGGATGCACAGGTGAACCGGGTCGTCCAGGTCGCTGACGGCGGGTAACATGCTGTGGAGTTTGTCCTTGGCGCCAGCCTCGTCGGCGTCCACCACCTGCACGCTCTTCTGGCTCTTCTTCTTCCGCTCGCCTTTCTTATACTTTCTGCCAACGTTGTCCAACGGACTCGGCGCCCGCCGCGGGTTCGACTTGCTGCTCTGCAACTCCAGCGAGTTGAAGAACGCGTCGGCGTTTAGAATCTCGGGATAGGACACCGTCGTCGGCGTCGACGGCGACTCGTGGACGGTGTCGTTCTTGTCGTCGGGTGGACGACAGCCCGACTGACGATGCCGTACGTAATTATCGAGGCCGTGTATCGTCAGGTTACACTTGATGCAGAAGTGCGTGTCATCGTCGTCCTCGAAGGTCTCCATTCAGGTCGATTTCAGGCGTCGCTGAAAAAGACGGCTAAGATGAAAAGAGAGCGGCGATCGCGCGGTCTACTCTCAAGTTGAGAGAAATCATTGAATTCGCTTGTCGAGCGACAAGTCATCTAAAGTGCAGATTTTTTCACTTGTTCTGTTCCCGTGTTACAATTACTCGTCATCGATGACCTCCGTGAAATCGGTAGCTGTGCGATATCGTGAAATATTCGTACAACGAATGCTGTCTAAATTCGCACTAGAGGATCGAATCCTCGAAAGTAGTTTGCAATATCAACGGCATAATGTAACGAACATTATACAATCAAAAAACGCACATTCGGGCGTACAAAAAACGCGCGTACGAATAACCTTTCGTTCAAACTTTGTGCTTAGTGCGTTTCCGAACACACACACACACACATATATATATATGCGTAGTGAAGTTAGTCACACGTCACGGCCGCGGTAATGGCGTCGCGGAGACGCAAAGGCGTTATTTTGCGGCGCTCGATCTTCTCGATCATTTCGAGTCGCTTCGGACAATCGTGAGACCTACTGAACACCTCTTACGTGCGATCAGCATTTTGGAATTGGAGCATTAGCGGTATGTTTATATTCGACAAGTAATTAAGGGTCTATCGAGAGATTATCGGATCTAAAATATGCGCGCGGGATCTAACCTAATTTTTTCGCCCGATTCTCGAGACTCGACGCGACGTCGAGCAACGTCGTTTCTTGCAACTAATTATATTTGTCATGCGATTTAGTCACGATCGATGAAGAAGACTGACGTTTCTGTTTCAGATCCGAGAATACGCGGTCACATCTCGAAGACAGCTTGAAGATTTCGGCGGATGCTACGATTGCTACGGACTGCATCGCGGAGCGGTCCGTCCGGCTCGGGCAAGATCGACTCGAAAGTAAGTTCGCAAACTCTCTGTACTCCTCCACTTTACGCTTGACAAGCTAGATTTCGTTCGACAGAACGCCGTTTTCTTCTGACGTACGCTTCTCAAGACGAGAATTGATTGACGAGAATTACGATCGCGAGGAGTTAACCGTTTCCCTCTATTCATCAGTCAGTTAGTTGCAGATTAGGTTATGTTTAATCCAAGCCGTTGGCCAAGTCGCAAATCTGAAGCTAAGGGTAGAATTGTTTTCTTTTTTTGTTCTAGATCTGAAAGTGGCAAAATTCGCATTGCGATTACGCCTCGCGGATAAATATGGGTTTCGTTGAATTTCGCAACACGCGACATGCATCTAAGCTTATTATTTCGGGTGAACTTTCGCAAACCACTCACGCTTTTATTAAATGCTACAAATTTAATGCCAAAAATATTCGAGTAACATTACGTATCGCTGTTAGCATTGCTTTTCCACATTTGGAAGATGCAGCGTGTGATGATGTTTATTTATATGATGACAGGTGAATATTTGTTCTTGACCTAACTTAACCTAACCTAACCGAATCTATCTATGCCACTGCAATATAATTTTATCTTTTAATGCAATGTAGCTTTATTCTTTAATTAATTAACGTAATCTTTTAATTGAATATGCTTGATCTCTTTTAATTAAAAATATTAATGCGGACAATTAGGCAACCCAAGGTATCAGTTAAGCAAATACATCGACGGAGTACGTAGGCTCATCTGGGAAAGTAGTGTAATATTATCAGCGCGATTTATATATAACGTTATTTAAACGTTTTATTAAACATAAAACTTTGTCGGTGAAAATCCATTTATTTGAGCGTTTATTCAAGATTATTTGAAGTATTTTCACCAAAATTCACGGCAATAGAGTATGAGATGGTTTTCGGAAGTTCATCCATTATTCCGCGCATTATTTTCGATTATTTCGCTCGTGATCGCGCGGCTTCCATTATCGCCGAGAATAGTAGTTTACCAAAATCCATCGCCCTTTCGATCAGTGTCGCAGATATATTTATTAAAGCCGTGCGTTACAGTTACAGCACGTTAGATATTCGTTTAAATAAGTGGTCGCGTCGCGAGTGCGTCGATAAAGCGAGCGAAGCGTACTCGACGTGTGGAACCGAACGCTTCGACGACTGGATCCTGAAGAGATTGGACGGAGCAAAGTTCCGTCTGAGGCGCTGCGGCGGATTTCATCGAGCTGCACGACGTCGGCGGACAGGCAACGGCAGCGGCTAATGCGGTGAGTGAGACGATACAGTTTCTCAGCAACGTTATCAGTAGCGCATACGTGTTCACGTGTAAATTCGTCATTTTTCGCGGAGATCAATGCTGCAATCTGTTGCTCAAAACTGCGAGCATTGCGAGTCTCCGCGAGCGCTGTTGAATATCGAAACTCGCATTATCGCATATTTATCGTACTCGTGTCCGTACGAGAGCGAGAGAAATGTCTCTCGGTTGTTATTATTCCGCCGAGTCGCGCCGGCCATGAAGAGAGAGAGAGAGAGAGAGAGAGAGAGAGAATTCATTCGCGCTTTCGAGAGCATCGCCGCGGAGCGAATTCGGAAGCCGTTTAGCCGTCATACCCCGATCACGCGTCACGCAACAACCGCGTCATGGACAGCTCGCTGAGGACAATCGCGTTAGCGGGGACCGCAGTGGGCAAATTGAAGGTCCGATATTCGCGCGGCAGAAGGGAAACAAGTTGACGCTTCGTGCGGGCCGGGGGCAGGAAGATCGGTCGATGCCGCTTGGCCGTTATTCGGACGACGACACTTCGCCTCCCAGTCCTGGCCGCCCCTCTGCAGCCCTCGTCGATCCCCCTCCGCGCCCTCCCGCTCCCCTTTCCGTCCTCCTCCTTTCCGCCGGCAGCCCGTGCGCGTCCTCTCCGCATCACCCCCGCCCTTGTTGCGCCCTTTCTGTTTCCCCTTTCCGAAGTCTGCGAACCGGCAGCGACCTCGTGGCTCCGTCTCTCGTCTTATTAAGCGGAGAAAACTACCGAATGAAATTTCCATCCGGCTCCGAAACACGCTCGTCGGTGTCATCCCCCGCCGCCGCCGTCGCTGCCCCGCCGATCGGCTAATATCCCCCCTCCCCGGTCTCGTCCTCGTCCTCGTCGTTCTAGTGTACCTTTGACGTGACTGAAATTCGATTTGCGTATAGTCGAGAAGTTGCAAAAATGTTTCCGTTACAGCGTAACCAACTTAGCGCCCGGGTTAACCGCTCTTGATCGGCTATCGCGTATCACGCGTATCAGCGACATAACCGAAGCGAGCGACCGAACGAGGGAGAGAGCCCTTCGTGGATTATTTTGCTGTTGCCCCGGTGAATACACAGCTCGAGCTGACGAGCGAAAAAGCGCCGTGTGAATTTTTTGTAATTTGTCCTCGCGATATCGAGCGGTGTAAGCGAGACTGATAAAGTAAGACGGCGTATATTGCGGTCTTACTGCGCGCCGGCGGCCGTCATATTCGATAATGAATTTCCTTGCCGATTCAAGGTATCTTCGTATCTCCTACGCGTCCCGGGTAGGAGATAATGCACACAGGGTGTTCTCAACCCCGTTCTATTTAACGGTAGATTTCTTGGGGAATTCAGGGCCGGCTTTTCTCGAAAGAAAAAGACGAGGGATAAAAGGGAAATGTGTAAATTCTTGTAATATTGTCTCCGGTCGTAATATCGTCAAAATGGAAGATTCGTTGAGAAAGGGACTTTGATCGCATCTATTTGCATTCTTCCGACCGAGATCACTGAAGATTCGTCAGTCGATTGGGATCTTTTTTTTTTTTTTTTTTTTTTTCCAAGACATGTACAGTCGCGTTAATTACACGCGACGAGACGAAATCCCGGCACCAGCCGCAAATCCAAGCATCCGGCTCAGCCGAGTGGGAATAAACAGGTCTTGATGAGAGACGCGATCAGCACGACGGAGGATTACGATCCAAACGATTCCGCGTAAATCCGTCGTGTCACGTACACAACACGCGTACGGCGCTAATAAGGCGACCGACGGCCGCGAGTATCGCCGCGGCTATCGGAGGGTAGAAAAATCGGACGGGGCAGATTCGTCGAGATTTACGAGTGTTTGCCGAAAAAACAAGGACGGCCGTTAATTGGCCGACGCTCGTGAACATCGCCGAGACACCGATATGTCAATATGATATCCATGGTTGACGTATCGCGCGACGTTTCTAGCTATCCGCTCGTTGTCGTCGTTGATCGAGGATCGTCGATGACTAATCCCTAATTACCGGTCGCAGTGCGGAAAAAGGATGCGCACCTGCTACCAACGAGGCTCGCGTAAGCGCGAAATAACTTTCGCAAAGTGATCTTACGGTTTGATCGCCAAGGTAGAAACAGAGGGAGGGGGAGAGAGAGAGAGAGAGAGAGAGAGAGAGAGAGGAAGGGAGGGGAAGGGGATAAGGCGAGAGAGATAACTTGTTGAGCGTCATAAATGTGACGAATTCTCTCGCTTTCTCTCTCCCTCCCACTGTCGCTTGCGGTGTGTATCACGAACGTGAAGCTTGCGAGATTAACACATGCAGAGGTGACGTTTAATTAAACGCGTTGAAAAACCTTTTCACGAACAATTCGCGAACAACTTGCCCTCCGTTCTCGAGGATTCTTATTTCGACGCGGATCAATACACGTGACGTGAACGCAAGTGTCGCTCCGTTGCAAAGGATTAATTGTTTCGCAGGATAATGAGAGAGGGAGAGTGAGAGGGTCTCGTGTTTTAGCTACGGTTTACACAGAAAATTTATTTAGCACTGTGCGGGCGGTGACGCGCAGTATCTATCGCGCTTTCGATCACCATCGCTAATCTGAGCAGAGTGATCGAGGGTCCCGATCATCTCGATCAGCCCTCTCTCACTCTTAATGCCCGCTATAATTAACAATAATCAGCGCGATCCCTCGGACGCGGGCGCGCGGCGCGACGGCGGGCTCGCACGACCCCGAGCGTCACCGAAAGCGAAGCCCGGCTAAAGTAGAAGACGAAGGAGGAGAGGAGAGAGACGAGACGGAGAGAAGGATCCTTTCGGGACTCGTCGAACGAAATTAGACGATCTCGATCCGAAGCCGTAAGCGGCCACT